GTATCTAGTCGAAGACATTACCCTTCAAAATTGAAAAAATTTCCCTCGTTCCCCGTAAATGGGGGAAACCTCCAAAAAAATTACAAATTTAAAAATCGCTAATTTTCGAAATTTTTTCAATTTTTTTTACTAAAAACTGCCGTAACTTTTTCAAAAATAAACATATCAATAAAATTTTTTGTAAATTTGAATTTTTTTCTGCCCACAGGGGGGGATTTAAAATGACAACTTTTTCACAAAAAATTAACTTTTTCAACTTAACTTTTGAAAATGTTCCGGAAGGTCTGACACTTTTATATATATCTTAAATTAAAGCTAATGTAATGTACTTTAATTTGAAAAAAAAAAATTTGACCTCTGGACTTGTCTTCATGGTGAAAACGGCTACCGAATGCTATTTTTGTGTGAAAATTTTCGATTTTATAATTTACATTTTTTACTTTAAAGTGCTATAACTTTTTAAAAAATGTATGGATCAATACAATTTTTTCATGAGAAGTAGTATTTATATACATCTTTCATTGGATATACTTTTTTTTTAAATCAGACTATTTCCCTATATATGGGGGGGCTTCAAATATAAAAAATGCATATAGAAAGTAGAACTTTTTCAACTTAACTTTTGAAAGTGTTCCGGAAGGTCTGACACTTTTATATATATCTTAAATTAAAGCTAATGTAATATACTTTAATTTGAAAAAAAAAAATTTGACCTCTGGACTTGTCTTCACGGCGAAAATGGCTACCGAATGCTATTTTCGTGTGAAAATTCTCGATTTTATTATTTATATAATATTTAACTTTATAATGCTATAACTTATTGAAAAGTGTATTGATCTACATAATTTTTGTTTGAGAAATAATATTTTTTAATAATCCCTTTTTCATTTGACATACTTTATCTTAATCAGGATATTAATAAGGAACTAGCAGATTATGTTGCTTTTGTAATTATCCACCAATTTCTTAGAATTAAACACTATCTACTGATTTGCATCGAAGCGTTTCTTATGATAGTGATTTTNAAATTAAACACTATCTAAAGATTTGCATCGAAGCGTTTATTTTTGATAGTGATTTTAATCACTGTCAGATATCATTATACTTGATCCAACTATACCACGTCACAACTGTGCCGCGACCCCCTACGTATTTAAAACGTTTTAATTTTTAACTACTGAGTAATAAGTAACAGCAATTATACACTTGTATAAATACAAAATATATACTCTAGGATATTTTAAACTTATTTTGGAACATATATTTCTGGATAAATTGTAGTCTTTATAATTATTTATACTTTTTTATTGCGTATATTTTAAAAAATAACTCATTTTATTTACGAAGTTCTACCTATGCATTAAAAAATGTTTCCCATAGTAGCTAAATGAGGAATATGTCTAAAAATTCCTTGATACCAGTGGCGCAACTAAAGTTCAAATCTTGGAGGTGCTACAATTATGAATCGTTAACAAAATCGTGGGGGGCTCCACCCTCGCACATTCAACTTTACATAATCTCAATATTTAAATTATAATACTATTATTATATTCACAATATCATATTTGGAAAAATTAATATAACACATTAAATTTATTTTCTATAGTATTTGATTGAAAACCTGAACTCTAAATTTTTAATAATAGTATCAAAAATTGGGAAATAAATTGTATGCTTCCAATAGGCTTCAACTGATTCTTTTTGTTCTTCATAATTAACTCCGTTTCCAAATGGAAATTTTTTTAATTATTTGGTTTGCTTCTTTTTCGTTTTGATACTTTAAAATGTTTTATAAATCGCTATAATGTTGATAATATAATAAAATATACCATTTAGAATATGTACAACCTTGATGATATAGATTTTATTAATCACTATGCAAGATAAGAAAATATATATAATATATATGATAATAAAATCTTAAACTGAACAAGTACATACATTGTATTAACTACATCAGTGTTTATGCTATGATATCAATTTAAGATAATTATTTTGTTTTGTGATAAACATTGCGAATAATATTAAATTTGAGCGATGAACGGTATCACAACAGCAGCCTCCCATAACCTACCAAATGGGGCGAACGTAGGGGTATGAAATGCCACTGTATGCCAACTTTAGATAGATGATTTATAACTTGCTCATGGTGCTCAATGGACATAAAAAAAAAGAGTGTAGCTCGTCAGCTGACGTCTTTCATCAATAAAATTCGTAGCATTGTCGCAAAAAATATCTGAACAAGACCGCGACGATTACAGAAACGCAGGCGTGGTCGGGTCACTTACTAACTCTATGTGAACGGCCTTGATGGCAAAGCACACGAATATGCACTAGTACGCCTTATTAACGGGGGCTTTTCTTCGCTGACTAGACTTTACGTAAAACGTTTCCGCGAATTCAAAACCTGTTTTAAGGAACGCCTTGGACAGTTCTAACTCAGCGGGCAGATAACCCATCAGCTGGACTACAACAGGCTTATATTTAAAGCATGGCACGCAAGCCTGGTCAATATTGCGTCCATATTGCATGGCAAATATATTAAACGGACCGACGCCAACATCGATTGTGGTCCACTGTGCATAAATTTTAAAAGCTCGTTAACAAATACTAATTTTGTGTATTCAAACTTAGCCGGCAATACTATTGGATGACGCTGCAACGAGCTCAAATTAGCCGCTTTTCGTAAACGACCGTCCACCATGAGCACGCCTTTCTCATCCAAGAAGCGATATAAACGTATTAAATTACTTTTTGGTTTTATTGTACGTAGTTTTTGAATACTTTGTATTTCCTCACCAATGTGACATTTTTTAATGACTTTTATTATGCATATAGTCGCTTTTTCAATTTCATCAGCCTGTACAGGTCCGTACTGACACTTTAATTTACGCTTTTTAGCTAACGCATTATTCACTAACCAATAATAATATGCTAAAATTGACAAGTCATAACTAACCGCCGACACCAACACTTGCGTTGTTGCGCGCTCTTCTATCGATATTTCAATTTGACGATCTTCGTCAAAAGTTGACCTGGGCCACTGTAGTAACACATTTTAGTACATGTAATCAGAAGCGTATTTATGTATTTACCGCTTATAGGCCTGTAGAAAATTGCCGCCCTTAATTATGATAAAATAAAATTTAATTAGGTAGGTATGCAAAACAAATTGAATTTATATTTTAAATACAAAATCATAATTATTAAAATTGGAAAAAAAGGAATAACAAAATATTGGTATCGGAATATTTTAAATTTATTACATAATAAATTGCTGATTTCCTATTAGACGATCGGTTTACGTCGACATTTGGTTCTTGCAAATGTGTCTATTAAATCTTCACAATTCAATTCGCTTAGCATTTCATTCTCTATCGAAAATAATGCTAAATTATTCAACTTGTCATCAGTTTGGGTGGACCTTAAATAGTTTTTTACGCGTTTGAGGCATGAAAACGATCTCTCGGTAGTACAATTGGACACTGGTACACTCACAAAAATCCTTAATGCTGTGTCAATATTTGGAAATATTTCAATGTGTAAACTTTTTTCTCTTAAATACTGGCACAGTGTGATAGGAGTTAAATTATTTACGTCAATATCGATATCACTATTCAATAAATAAGATTGTAAATGTAAGCATTCTGACGAAAAATTATTGTCTAAATCATTCGGGTATATTTTTTGCAATTTCTCAGCAAACTTAACTATTTCCAAAGAATTTAAAGATGTAATTTTTAGTAGTACTTCAAATATATCACAAAACGCTTTGAAGGCCTGTTGTCTTTTCTTAAGTTCATTTGTCATCTTATCAATAATTACGTAAAATGTTTCAACTCGAAATTTATCCCTACCAATTAACTCGGTTGGTTGCTCAGTTTTTTCATCGAAGTGTAATTTTTTTTTTTTTTGTCGAGATATACCAAAATTGTACTTGGTAGTCTTTGATATTTTTTTTGCTCTAGTTTCATATTCATCAAAATTATCTCGGGTTTTTTGAACTAGATTAATTAGTGATGTATAAATCTGAGAAACTTTATCATTTCCAATTTCAACACATTGTAATTGTTTATTAGATGCATTAAATCGTTCTAATATATGATTCCAAAAAATCATCATAAATGATGTTTCTAACTTTTGCATTTGATTATAAAGACCATTTGACTCATTTCGCGTAACACATTTTTCAAAAGTGTCATCCTTGATAGTGATCAATGCGTTAATAATTTCATCCCACGAATTATATAATGCTCGACATGCGTCTGCGCGAGCCGACCACCTGGTGTTTGATAAACTCTTAATTGTATTAGCATTACGTTTCATATTTAATTGCAAAATTGACCATCTCTGCGTTGATGCGGAAAAAAAATTATATAATTGTTGTATAAATCCAAAAAAAATTGATGCTTGTGGACAACTTTCTGCAGAAGATATGCCAACCAAATTTAACGAGTGAGCGCTACACGGTACGTAATAAACTAGTGGATTAATTTCTTTGATTCGAGCCTGAACTCCACTGTATTGACCTGACATATTACTAGCATTATCGTAGCTTTGCCCTCGACAGTCAGAAATGTCAATATCATGAGATTTTAAAGTATTAATAATGACATTAGTTAAATCTAAAGCTTTATGTCCTGGATTTGAAATAAAACATAAGAATCGTTCTACAGGAAGACCAGTTGCGAGGACATATCTCACCATAAATGATAATTTGTCGACGTGCGAAATATCTGGCGTCGAATCAATACTTATGGAAAAATATTTTGATATTTTTAATTCTCTAACAATATTATATTTTAATTTTTTCATCATTAACAAAATAAATTCGTCACATATAACGTGAGATAAATATGACGTAGAGCCACTGCCTTTACTTCCAAAACGAACTATATGATCGGCTAAAAACGGATCAAATTTTGCGATTAATTCGAGTGACATTAAGTAATTACCGTTGTGTACAGAACCAAAACACGAATCATGTCCTCGAAAAGGAAGACCACGAGAAGCTAACGATTTAATAGTTTCGACTACCCTTTTCAACACATTTCTCCAATATTCGATTTCTGTGTCTAATTGTTTAATCAATGAATTATCAATGCGCCCCAAGACATTACCTCTATGTTTTAAATTCATAATAGCATCTCGGTGCTCTTTACTATTTTCATGGTAGCTGAAACGGACAGTAGCATTTTTCCAATCATTGAACCCTTCAGTAACAAGTTGAGTTTCTAAAGATGTTTGAAATATCCGACAAGGCCCACAAAAAACTACTACTAAACTTGGAGAATAAACTAACCATGAACGAACAATTGTTTCTCCATTAATTAATCGTCTATTAAACATAATTTTGGTCAAATATCTTGTTTTATCAGAATATATCCGTTTCGAGTTAATAAAGTCATTTGTCATATTTTGATTAAAACCATTTTTTGCAATATAGTCACGAAATTCGTCGTTAATAACCCATTTAGCTGGGTCTATCTCCAAAATGGTTTCATTTACTATCATATTAGTCAACTCATTTGACTCACAACTACCTTCTGGTTCAACATTATCCACTTCAATAGATTCACTAATTATTGTTGTTTCACTGTCACTAACCTGAAAATCTGTTTTCTTCATATTAATATCCATAATGTTACTACTATTACTACTACAAACACCAGAAGTAGAAGCTGGATTTTTAAAAAAATCAGTCAATTTTTGTGTTTTATTTAAAACATTTTGCAGTTTTTCACTTTTTAATTTGGCAATTTTTTTGTATTGGTCACCACTTAACCGTTTTCTATTCGAACTCATGCTCACAAAATAAAAAGAATATTTTCGAAAAAAACGACGACACAACTGCAACGGTACGCACTCAGCACTTTGCAGCACGGTCAGAACGCACAGGCGACAGTACGATAGACCACAGACTGAAATCACTTCTCATTTCTCAAGTAATAAGATAAAAGATCGGTCAAGAAATTTTTCGTAGAACCACTGCACTGAATGTTGATATTATTAGATTGTTAATATGTACTGTAGATAACAAATATGTACTGTAGATAACTCACTGACCATTTTTTTGACGGCGACGGCGTGAATATTTTCGGTAGACAGCGATAAGAAACTTTAAAAATAAATAATTCGAAATTTATTTGGAACCAATGTCATTGTTTTCAATACTTTAAGATACTTTTGTTGGCTGAATAAAAATAAGTTTCACCGAGTTAATATGCATGGCCATCATTATTGAAAAAAAAAATCCCATGAAAAATTTGCCGCCCCTTAGAATTTGCCGCTGTAGGCACGTACCTATAGTGCCTGCATATAAATACGCCACTGCATGTAATAATTAATACATATACTTAATAAAATATATCATCAAATCAGTATTCCCCCGTAGATAAGATACATAAAAAACTAATACCCTCTGACACGGCACCGCCTTTTGCTCTAGGCTGGCACTCACCCGTGTCTCTCTCGATATCAGCCGTCCAGCTATTAATATGACAATCGGTTGTCATCGGTCGTCTCCCCGTCCTTGACACTGAGATAAGGCCGCCGCCGAATATGGATTACCGATATTGCGTTCTGTTCTGTTTTCGTCGTTCACCGTAACTGGTTGGAGTTTTTGGTAGTGTATTTTCTTTTCCTCCATATTAAGTTTGTGTTCGAGTGCAACTGGAAAAAATCACATTTCACCTGTGCATTTATATAACTGTGGTTTTGTTTTAAAATAAAACAAGACAACCGCTTACGTCAATCGAAACTAACTCACGGAATATCGAACTAATTCGTCCGCATTGTTGCAAGTGGTTTTACTTCTCTGATAGTTATTGTAAAACTATACTTATAGATATATATATATGTGTATATAACTAAATATTGTAGATATATATAATATATATATATATAGTGCTAGTGCGTACCATTGGATATATAAATATAGTGTTAGTGCGTGCCATTGGGATACGCGTTACCTCATACAAGATTTAACCATCCTCTTACGCATTCCATAAAACGCCAACGTAAAAGATTCTATCACATTAACCAATCAAATACAACAAAAAATATTTCAAGAATCTCACCAGAGATCGCAGAGATTTTCCGCCAAATTCAGATGATTCTGAACATCTCCCTCTCTGTATACTCTCGAGGCAAAAAGTCGCTCTGAGCATTCATCTCGGACTCTCTGGATTTCTCAATTAACATTCACAAATGGAATCTGCGTGAGTGTATGGTTCGCTGTTGGATACAATTCTATATCAAATCTACACCGTTTTATACCATTCCTAATCACTGGGATTTAAAAGAAATATTATACATTTTATTTTCGGTCGAATACTTTTGGTGATACAAATGTGTCATAAAAAAAAAGATGTAAGTAGGTTAATGTTTTGTATTTTGGGATGGTGAAATGTAAGAAATAATTTTTCAACATGAAAAACAATGAGAGGATAATTAAATTGATTATGAGTATAAATATTATGTTAACCGGAGTTTTGAAATTCGTCTAGCTACAAAATGAAAATAAAAGCATATGGCATATAATCATAAATTCTTTGTGATGACCGCTCATATTTTGTCGTAAAATATAGATCGCAAGTAAATCACTTCTGTATGACGCACAATGAAACGTGCAACGATTAAAGAGAAGAACTTTACGACTCTTAATATTTAGTGGTTGTGTTATAGAAATAATAAACTGTGTGTGTTTACATAAATTGCAACTGTCCAGTTGTTGGGCGCCAAGCCTTAATGGCTAAATTGTTTTTCTTTTATATATATATATTAAATATAAATTAGATATTTACATTGAACGCAAGCTGTTGCGTCCTGAATGGTGACTTATTCTTGATTTACCTTAAGTTTATTTTCTAATTTTTATGACATGCTTAGAAACATAATTTCTTACCTTGTGTCCAGCTAGCTTGATTGTTTATTGNAATATACTTTGGCAGCGAATATTACATTCTCACAATATTTTAAAGGTATATTTCTAAAATATTATAAAAAATATATTGTGACAATATTTTTAAAATGTTTTATAAATATATTAAAAAAATGCAAAAAATTAGATCGCTACGCGGGATTTGAACTCTATTCATCAAGCGCTTTGGACTCGTACGTGACCCATTGACCAACTGGTTGCTTCGATAGAAATAGGATAAAAAAAACCCAGCACAGGGGGGTCGCGGCCCAGTGGTGACGTGGTATAGATGGATCAAGTATAATGATATCTGACAGTGATTAAAATCACTATAAAAAAAAAACGCTTCGATGAAAATCTTTAGATAGTGTTTAATTTTAAAAAATTGGTGGACTATTCCAAAAGCTACATGATCTGCTAGTTCATTATAAATATCCTAATTAAANTTCATTATTAATATCCTAATTAAGATAAAGTATGTAGAATGAAAAAGGGATTATTAAAAAATATTATTTCTCATAAAAAAATAATGTTGATCCATACACTTTTCAATATGTCATAGCATTATAAAGTTAAAAATGTAAAAAATAAAATCGAGAATTTTCACACAATAATAGCATTCGGTAGCCATTTTCACCGTGAAGAAAAAATAAAGTCCAAAATTTTTTTTTCGCAAAATAAAGTAAATTACATTAGCTTTAATTTAAGATATATAAAAAAGTGTCAGACTTTCCGGAATTCTTTTAAAATTTAAGTTGAAAAAGTGGTCATTTTAAATCACCCCCTGTGGGCAGGTAAAGGGTCAGATATAAAAAAATATATACCAAATGATAGATAAAGACATCATGCATCTATAAAAAAAAATTATATTGATCCATACATCTTTCAAAAAGTTATAGCATTATAAAGTTATAAATATAAAAAAGAATTTTTTTACAAAATCGTATTTTTTTTATAAACTTTGAAGTCTGTTTTCACCATGAAGATAAAATAAAATCCGAATTTTTTTTTCTGCATAATAAAGTATATTACATTAGCATTAATTTAAGATATATATAAAAGTGTCAGACCTTCCGGAACACTTTCAAAAGTTAAGTTGAAAAAGTTCTACTTTCTATATGCATTTTTATGTTTTGAATCCCCCCTGTATTAAGGGAAATGGTCCGATTTAAAAAAACAGTATGTCGAATGAAAGATCTATATAAATACTACTTCTCATAAAAAAATTGTAATGATTCATACATTTTTCAAAAAGTTATAGCATAATAAAGTTAAAAATGGAAAATACAAAATCGAAAATTTTCACACAAAAATAGCATTCGGTAGCCATTTTCACCATGAAGATAAGATAAAGTCCGAAATTTTTTTTTTTCATGATAAAGCATATTACATTAGCTTTAATTTAAGATATATATAAAAGTGTCAGACTTTCCGGAACACTTTCAAAATTTAAGTTGAAAAAGTTCTACTTTCTACATGCATTTTTTAGATTTGAACCACCCTCGTATATAAGGAAATGGTCGGATTTAAAAAAACAGTATGTCAAATGAACGATGTATGTAAAAACTACTTTTCATGAAAAAATTGTATTTATCCATACATTTTTCAAAAAATTATAGTATTATAAAGTTAAAAATGTAAAAAATAAAATCGAGAATTTTCACAGAAGAATAGCATTTGGTAGCCATTTTCACTGTGAAGATAAAATAAAGTCCGAAATTTTATTTTTGCATAATAAAAAACATTACATTAGCTTTAATTTAAGATATATATAAAAGTGTCAGACCTTCCGGAACATTTTCAAAAGTTAAGTTGAAAAAGTTAATTTTTTTTGAAAAAGTTGTCATTTTAAATCTCCACTTGTGGGCAGGTTAAGGGTTAAGTTTATGAAAAAAATATACCAAACAAAAGGTTGGAATTATATTGAAAAGAATTATATTGATATGTTCATTTTTGAAAAAGTTATGGCACTTTTAAGTAAAAAAAATTGAAAAAATTTCGAAAATTAGCGATTTTTAAA